TGATGTTGGTGAAATTGATGTTGGTTGTAATGATGATGTTGTTGGGGAGGTGCTGGATGGTGCTGCTGCTTATCGATGTCAGAGTTACTCCGATAATGTCGTGACTAAAACAAATAATTTCGGGGTCAAGAATGTTTCAAAAAATGTTTTGCGGTTACCCTTAAAATGAAAAAAAAAAAACCAACGCAACATCTGAAAGTTTCTTCACAAAATAGCTGGAAAAACTGTATGTCTTTTATGCTGTCCAATCCATATTAATAATAATTAAAAAGAAGTTATGCATGGATATGTATTTGAGCTGGAGTTATTAAAAATATGTGTTATTGCACACAGACACATTGTCAAAAGATAAAGCAAAAGACACACCACACATTTAAAGAAGCAAAATAATAAGCCTTTTGTTTTAAATAGGCCAATTAATTGCAAAACACATTGCTTGAATGAACCCATTGGCATTACTTTAGCAGAACGAAAATATTAACAGCATTAACAAAGAACAGCGTAATAAAATGTAACACTGGGAGATAACTCACTGGTGAATCATTACGAGGAGGTTCTAGTTGTTCTGGAGCCGACCCGCTTCGTCCGTGATACACGTTAGGCATTGGCGTTTTATTCACATGCTAAAAATAAAACAAAATAAAATAATAAACATGCAACGCACATGCAAAATAAAATTGAAAGCAACAAAAATAAAATTCAATTATACCAAATCAAACGAATTTTTAAAATTTTCATTCATGGATTCATAATCCACATTGGTCTACTCTATAAAGAGACAATAAAGACAACTGGTGCAAAGTTTTTGTGCTTATTTCAATTTGGCCGATATATCTTACCATTTTAAAAAAATTGACGGGCTCATAGAAAGTGAAGTTATATTTATAAATCTGCATGCACATAGCCATATACCTTAGTGCACAGTGATGTATTATCAAAACTGTAGAAAAGAGAAATTGTTTAATCCTTTTCTACTGTATCAATAATCACAACCCATTCACTGACCATAAGCCTTATTCTCAAAAAAACCTCACCTCACTTCAGATGATTTTAGTTTAGATCTTTAAATCTGGATTTATCATAATCAAATTTTGAAGAATAAGGCTGCGGGTCTTTTATTATCTTATATCTTATCCCATGAAAAGGTTAAAATACGTGCAAATGATAATTAAAATCCAATGAATGTCATGAATCAATTAATTAATAAAGGTGTTGATTAGTTATTAACAATATTAGTTACTTAATATTTATGCATACTCATTAATTATGTACATAAATTATCAACTATAATGATATCCAATAACCAATATATAACAATATTGCGATAGATATGAGAGCATAAGCATCCAAAATTGTTAATTTTTGTTCAATGGTCGTACAAAAAATTTCATTTCAAAAAAGTAAAAGAAAGTTCATTAGCTGCTACCAATGTTTCGCCAAAATGTTGTTTTGGATTTCTGGTTTCATTTTGCAGTTCAGTTCAGAGTCCTTGTTTTATTTTTTCCCAATTGAAAATAAAATTTGGAGGGCTTATACTTCATTTACAATGTACATGAAAGGATGGGGGAGGGATAACTAATAGGTGATTATTTATGACAGGGGTCTGTATCTATATTAGGGGATTTCCTTTACACGAATGATCATAATAGGGGATTTTGGCAGACATGGAGAAAATAGCCCCAGTGGCAAATCAAATTTCATAATTTTCGATAAAGAACAACAAGAAACTTTCCAATTTTTTTTTTATGCAATAGTTTGGTTTTCTTTTCTGTTTCTCGATCCCTGCCGTTAAGATAAGACACTCTTTATGTTACAGATTGACAACCAGTTCCAATTTGATGATGCAATTTTTACCACAAAGTCAACAAACATCGGACAAAGACCTGTCAGAGAACTCATACAATTAACTTTTGGGCATCACAATACGAAATTTGATAGGTTAATATTATCACTGTAAGACAATCAACCAATCAGATTTGTTAGTATTATAGATGTATATCTACCAAATAAAAATCTGATTGGTTGATCTCATTCAGGTAATTTAAAGACCAATCATAGTTCTAAGCATTATGATGTACTTTTGTCCTACAGACATTTGATTGGTCAATATTATCACTGTAATAATATCAACCAATCAGAGTTCTGTATACTGTGCATGTATGATTATCTTATAAAGTTATGAGGTTTCTAACAAGTCCAATGCCATTGGTAGACAATGTGGTATATATGGAAGGGCCATTGTTACATAAGTTACTATTTTTAGATACACTTACAAAGCCTGCGTAATGATTGGAGGGTTTTTGAGCCGGTTTTGGAGGTTCCACTTTGGTTTTGAAGGTTGAGACGGAGCAAAAAAATTGCGATTTCTTGGTTGCTGCAAATGAAGGCAGATATTTCATCAAATTCAAATTTTCCAGAAATTCACATCCGAGGCACATTTACTACTTTGTAAATAAATAACTACATAATAAATAACAAAAGACTCCAACTGGGCTCGACACCACCTCCAAATTAATGGACTCTCCCAAGCATGTGCATTTCTTCAGCTGACATATTTTGACATGTTTGACATTACAAAACTTCCAGTTAGATAAATTACATATTCAGGCTCTTGCACTTCTCAGAGCTATTTATCTTGTGCATTTTCTTACTTTCCCACTATACGAAAATTCTTTCAATATTTGCAAACCATGCGCATTACTGAGGTCAGAAAAATTATTTCTGGGTACAGAAAAAAGGGAAGAATTTAGAATTTAGGTCAAATTCCAGAATGTTTTGTTCCTAGAGCAGTGAGAGAGCAAGCTCATCAGTAGTATAGTAATATATATAATAATAATAACATACAAAATATAGAGATATGACAAAGACAGGATACAGAAATACAAATAAAGCTTCATAATGATTGGCATACGAAATACGAAACTAAGCGCCTGACATAGTTAATAGAACTAGATCACGAACGCGCAAATTGATTTGAATCTTGTTTCTATGTAACGACACATATTATGGTATGAATAACTGGTTCCTATTTTGGTATTTGATAAATTTTGCACCCCAAAAAATGGCATTTTTAACAGTAAACTGAATTAAAAGTTAATATCAATATATACACAGGGATTATTTTATATACAGTTATTCTATAGACGTACAAATATGGTAACAATTTATGATACACAACATAAAGCTTGCTAAAAGCAACATAAACACTAAACACTATTATTGCAAACTTTAACATGTTAAAAAATCCTGAAAGGTTTATAATATTAAACTGTTTTGAAAACTTTCGATACAGGAAGCATAAAAATCTCCTAATGTAGCAGAATCTTTAAAATAAACTAAGAATAGAACATAAATAAAAAATGCCAAATATTTGTAAGCTTTCAGTTGGCAAAAAGCACATAAAATTTAAATATGGTTGAATTTGCTTGTCAGCAAGCTAGAAAGCGAACTTTTAACAACAAAAATTAAATGGCAGAATAACTTCAAAATGTGAAATTTTTAATTCTTGAATTATGTGATTTTTAATGAAAAGCAAAACAACACTGTGGCTACATAGAAATAGTCCTCATCTCTTAAAGTCTATCAAAATATCTTCCGCCCCGAAAAAGGGCTATCAATTTTCAGTTTCAGTTGAAAGGTCAAGGTCATAAGGTCAAGGTTAAAGTTTATCATTTTTATAAGACGTAATAACATACTTGCAAAATCTAGAAATCCAAGCCTTATAAAGTTTAATATTATCAAAATTTTAAATCATTCTTAAAGGTTGAGGTCACAAGGTAAAGTTCAAGGTTAAAAATGTCCTTATCCAATTTAAGTCAAAGGTCAAAAGTCAAGAAGTCATGGTCAAAAGTTCAAGGTCAGAGAGAGATGAAGACTAAACTATGAGGCATTACTATACAAAGAGAGACAACTCTTTTTACCTCGTCGTTAATAAAATGTTGTTGAGGGGGTGTAGGCTCCCTGCTAGACTGGTACGATGGCGGGGGCTCCTGAATTTGAGGAGCTGTAGGCTACAATGATATTTACGATTTTCAGTAAAAAGAAAGGGTTCCAGAGATTGTAAAGAGTTGTCCTAAATATTTTATGTTTATCAGGGACACTGTTAGCATCAATATGCACCATTCTGATTTTCAATCAGATGTTTTATGACTACGACAAAAGCTGCAAATATGATATGAAGACCCTTTGTGATAGTGATATCATAAAACGCATAGTTTAAGTAGAATGGCAAGAACCAACTTCTGATTGAAAATTGGAATGGTGCAAATTGATTCTATCAGTGTCACCAATACACATAAATCAAAAAGAAAAGAAGGGGAAAAGTTGCTCATTACAAAAAATGAAGGTAAGAAATTAACACACAAGGATAAAAGAAACATTCACAAAATAAAATAGAAAGGGGAAGAGTTTTTCATTACAAATCAGGAAGATAAATTAAATTTCAGTTTTTGGCAAAAATCTACCACAAAATTGTCTGAAGGAGGAAAAAGAGGGAAGATTTATATTACAAATCAGGAAAGTAATAATTCAAACGCTGGCGAAGGAAGGAAGAAACATTCAGACTACAAACTAAAATGACAGTAAAAAGACGGAGTAACGTACCTCGTGTGAGTGTGAATTAAAACCACCATTTAACATGATATTCTGTAGCCCTTTTCCAGCTTCTCGGACCGTATTATTCCATTCCTCGGCTACTGTCTCTTCTTCACTGTTCTCATCACTACAATTGGTCAGAATATATTAAACAATCAATTGAAATTTAACTAGCGGGTCATGGTTCGATATTTTTAAATGAAATGATCATAAGTGGAGAGATATGGTGAGATGGTAAGTGCAATTAATCTTTGAATCAAGGCTAATTTGGAAAACTCTGTCACCAACAAAACAATAGCTTCTTTACTGGTACTCAGTCGCAGAGGGTGTTTTGAAAATTCAAAATCTCTCACATCAGCGTAGACTTCAATGCTGTTGAAAAATATCCCACTTAAAAATAATAAACCTTACTCATCAGAGTCGTCACTGTCGCTGGTTTGACCTCGGTTTAATTTCCATGTCTTATAATGTTCTATTAGTTCTACTAGATACGATGTTTTCTTCGCTCTCTGAACAAAACGATGGCGTAATAAATCTCTCGCACTCGGTCTCTACAAAAATAATCATATTAATACAATTCTATCCCCTGAGATATTTTTTGAGGTTACTGGGGCTGAGGCCATTTTCTCTTAAAGGGATAAGTTCACCAACCGATTGACCAATCATACTTTAGTCTCAGAAACCGTGTGACTAAGCTCATCAGTAAGAGTGTTCACAGCTCACTGGCAAAATTTGAAATTCATCACACCTTAGTTAGTTTCTAAGAGTTGAGATTTTTGATAAGACTACCTAAAAAACAAAGAAAACAAAAATTTACTTACGTTTTGTGGGTCTTTGTTTAAACAAATTTCTACAAATTCTTTAAAAGCTTTGGAATAGTTCCCTATTAACTGAGGGGGGTTGTTTTTTGGAATGAGGAATAACACTCGCATGGGGTGGAGTTCGGAATTGGGTGGTTCTCCTTTCGCTAGTTCTATTGCTGTGATACCTAAACTCCATATATCAGCCTGCAATAGACAGAATGAATGAATGAATGAATGAATGAATGAATGAATGAATGATGGGATAAATGAATGAATGAATAAATTAAATCTTTCAGAGCAAGCAGTATAATTAAACCAGACTAAGTAGTTTGAATGGAATTGCAAGCAACACAAACGCCTTTCAATGGTGCAAACTGATTTTATCAGTGTTATTTATACACAAAATAGTTAAGAAAACCTCTCGACATCCCCTTTCAGTCTTTATCCCTTCGACTCAAGGCAATTCTGACTGAATCATATATCTGAATCTCTTCAAAAATGTATCTCAGATTTTACCTTGGTGTCATACGCTGATTGTTTGATAACTTCAGGTGCCATCCAAAATGGCGTCCCTACGAATGTCTGACGTTTATTTGTGGTAGCAGTAAGTTGTCCAGCAACTCCGAAATCAGCTAATTTTACTTCTCCTTGTTCTGATAATAATACATTGGCAGCTGAAAATAAACAAATACAATAAAATAATTGAGCTAGCAAAATTTCTTAACTATTTCAACGCTTGTGGTTGGTTTCCTGGCCACATAATTACACCATATGTACCAGATCAGCTGGTTAGGAGATGTTATATTAGAGGTTGGAAGCCGACTCTACAAAGTACTGACTGTAGCATCAGAATTTTTCATATTTTGAGGAGGATTCGACCTCACAGCACCCGACAATCCAACTCGCTACCAACTGAGCTATTAAACTGTCACAAAAAAACAGTGTTCCAACTGGTAGCATACCTTTAATATCTCTGTGTAATTTTCGTTCGGAATGTAAATAGTCCAGCCCTTTTAATATCTCCCGTATTATAATAGCGATGTCTGACTCCTGAAAGGCACCTGCTTTCATCAAATCTAACGCTGATCCACCCCCTAAATATTCCATGATGATCCATAACTTAGAGCCCTGAAAATAATAAAGAATTTGATTAAAGAACTGGTCTGGGTACATCTACAAGGGTAGATTTGCCAAGGTATACTGGAGGCATGTGTTTTTCTTCTGCACATAACTGGATTGGTAAATATCTAACAGAATTCCAAGAAAGGTCAAAAAATATTTTTTCTTTTATCCAGACTGTACATACATGGACATTTATGATTGGTTAAAACTTGATTGGTTAAATCACTTATATGCAATAAGAACATAATCGAGAAGTTTGAAAAATTATCAAATGGCAACTTTACTCTCAAAGCCTTCTTCAATGTTCAAAGCCTTCTTCAATGTTCAAAGCCTTCTTCAATGTTCAAAGCCTTCTTCAATGTTTAAAGCCTTCTTCAAATTTTCATTCCCCTTATAAAAGTCATAAGTATGATAACCTCTCCTCTTACCTTTAAATATGAACCAAAATATTTGGTAACAAAAGGAGAATCACATTGAGAGAGAACCATAATCTCTTGTTGAATGTCCTCAATTTCATCTTCCGCCTCTTCTAGATCTATTATCTTTATAGCTACCACTAACTTCGATTCATTGTCGATACCTAAAACAGAAAAATCCAAAGGTATTATCTCTAAATATGCTGGAATTGAAGCCCTGACATTCAGGTTACCCAACAAGCATCTAACTTACTGAGCCACAAAGTCTCATGTGGGCTAATAAAGACAGGCGATTCCATGCAGGGTACAATGAGAGAAATTTTGCCAGTACAGTGGCATTAGCCTGCTCTTATTTCAATTTCCAACTGTCGAGGGATCTTTAACGTGCACAGTCTGTAGCACACAGTTACGATTTGACGCTTTTTACATGTCAGCCCTCTTACCTGCATAACTGACAGGGCGAAACCTGGTTGAATAATCCGAAGGTATTATCTCGACCTATGCCAGGATTGAACCCTGGACCTTAAGGTTAGCGAGCAAGTGGCTTCCAAAAATACAGGGGGAAAATGGTTTGAAAAATCTGAAAGTGTTATCCCTGACATATGCCGGTATTGATTCCTGGACCTCTTTAGAGTCAAGAAAACACAAACCTTTAAAGACCTCTCCAAAAGATCCTTTTCCAATCTTTTCCAACTTGTTGAACCTTTCTTCAGGATCTATCAAACCTCGAGTCTGAAATTAAACTTGAAATATTATTTCAAGAGTTGGGACAAAAAAATTGAAAAGAAAGATGGCACTTTGAAATTCGCATACACATTGACATAGCTTAAAGGGATTTTAAAATTTTATAGTTTTCTAAATTTTTTATGTGTATCTGAGACACTGATAACATCAATTTGCATCATTCCAAATTTCAATCAGATGTCTTGGGTTAATTCTCCATCTTTAAAACATACAGGGACCAATTCATCACTGTATGATGAACTACAGTTACAGCTACAGACATGTTAACAACATTGACTTTTTCATAATACAATGATACAAGCATTATCCTGTCAAACAGAGATGCAGTATCAAAGTTCAAAACCTAAATTTAGCCACCACTGACCTGTGACTAGCCAGTCCGCGAATATTTAGTAGTGTGTAAATATTGGATCAGGATCACCACTGATTAAATCAAGTCAAGAGTAGGGTGTCAAAGATTATCATGGACCATGAAAGTCAATATTACTGTTGAAGAAGATAATTAAAACTTACATCAAGTCGTGTTGTCAGATTCAGATGGACTTTTAGCGTCAAAAAGTTTTTAAAAGTAGCAGTACAGGGTATATCTTAAGAATTGTTATGAAAAGTTGGAATTAAAACAGTAAAATATTCATATTTATATGTCCCTCAAGTCTTATTATCATACTTATCAAAGTTGTAGCATGCCCCAATTTTCAGGTAATATTTTGAAATGAGATGAGACGAATGGAGTTTTACGTCCTACTTTTCTGCACCATGTGGGCTAATGAAGACGGGCAACGCCATGCAGGGTGCAATGAGGGAAATTTTGCCGGGACAGTGGCATTAGCCTGCTCTTTTTCGATTTCCACCTGTCAAGGGATCTTTAACGTGCACAGCCTGTAGCACACAGGGCCTCGGTTTATTGTACCATCCGAACGACTAGACGCTTTTTCCATGTCAGCCCCTCGTATCACTGACAGGGGAAAACCGGGTTGAAAAATCCGAAGGTATTATCTCGACTTATGCAGGGATTGAACCCTGGTAATATTTTGAAAAGAAAATCATAGTCGTAAAAGAAAATCATAGTCGTAAAAGAAGAGTTTATTTATGGTAAAAAAATTGAAATTTGGATAGTCCTTGAAAAATTCATAAGCAAATAAAATTCATCACAGAAGAAATACTTGAATCCTTCTATTAACATAAATGGAAAAAACAAAACTGACTTCACAGTACCGGTATGTAAAAAACTTATATATTGTTAACACTGGGAGAAAAATGATAAAGTCTCAGGTCTTGTGTATATAGATCTGTCACTTCCCCTTTAATCACTGTTTCGGTACTTAACATATTTTATGCATATTTTGAAAGTAACACAAAATCTAAAGTGACTTTATAATATTAACCAAACGTCAAATATTTTTGAACACGTGAGAAAGGTTTTTGTTCAAAATTGGAAGATTAAATTAGCTTTTGTCTATCTAGGTGTAACAATGTGATGATATTAGATGTCATTCTGTTTGAAAAATGAAAAGGGATACAGATATAAACTGAGATACCACAATGAGGAAGTTATTTATGTATCATGATAACAATAGGGTGGGGTTATGACTTATTTTGATAAATGACAAAAAAAGAGGGTAGGGTTGGGTTGGATAAGGTACATATTTCATATTTTCTCTCAACTCCGGAAGACTGTAGGTGATATCACCCTATCCGGAAGACTGTAGGTGATATCACCTTATCCTGAAGACTGTGGGTGGGGACTTGTATAAAGATTAACTATAGCAGTAATATACACATCCCTTCCCTAAAGGTTATGGGTGGGGACTTGAGTAAAGACAAACTAGTAACAGACAGCAGTCGTAAAGATATCCCTCCCTAAACTTTTTGGGTGGGGTGGGGATATGTGTAAAGATAAACTAGTAACAAACAGCAGTCGTAAAGATATCCCTCCCTAAACTTTTTGGGTGGGGTGGGGATATGTGTAAAGATAAACTAGTAACAAACAGCAGTCGTAAAGATATCCCTCCCTAAACTTTTTGGGTGGGGTGGGGATATGTGTAAAGATAAACTAGTAGCAGTCAGCAGTCGTAAAGATATCACTGCAGCCCTGAAGGCTATAATATGATAGGTAATAATTTATTCTGTCTATTTTTTATATTTTATAGACATCATATTTCATAAACCTAGACAACACATCACCTTACTATTTCATTTCTACGTAAATCTCCTCCAAAAAAACTAACGATGTTGTTACTGCCCTCTTATTCTGTCTTGTTGCTAGATGCTATGGCTATTGGCGGCTATTGGCTATTAGCTAGCTATTGGCGGCTATTGGCTATTGGCTATAGTTATCAGAATGAGCCATTTAAAAACATTGAGTTTTTTTAGCACATTTATTTTTCCTTCAGTTATAAGCTTATTAATCTTAGTTTTAACTTAAAAATCCATTCTTAAATTTGATTCCTTTTTCAATTTTCTATCAAAGAAAGAAAGAAAAAGATCACTTAGTTTCAACCTTTAAAACTTTCTTAAATCCATCATAAAATTCATTAAATTTTTGAGGTAAAATTAAGATTTGTTCTCTAAGTTCATCACTGCACCTAATTGAGAGCGTAATATCTATTTTTAAAACAAATCCTGATCATTTCAATCTATTTACAAAACTATTAAACATAAAAGTGTATATATATATAGCTGTGTAAATATTTTCATCATTACAATGTCAACAAAATTAGTCAGTTTGTTTCCTTAATTAAAACAATTAACAATTATAATTAACATGAGTCATTAAGTACAAATTAAAATTTCCACTTTATTTTCTGTTATCAACTCCATGTCCTTGTCAATAAATATACCAAGTACTAATGATACAAACCGCGAAATGAAACCTGCAATCCAAACAACATTCTGGCTTATCATCTAATTTGAACGCACCCCCTTTTTTGCTATTATATATTACCATGTTTGCTCCCTCCTTCTTCATTTCATCTGATAACGACACGTGTAAATTGTGTTGAAACGTTATGTACTTTGTTATTAAAGTATTACATTATACCATACCATAATATATTTCCTTGTTTTTTCTGTTATCAGATTTAGTTTCAACAAATTTGTTACAGTTTAGAAATTTCTGAAAATGAGCCATAGGCCTGAAGATATCAATCTATATATATATACAGATAGATAGATATCATTTTCATCTACATGCAGGAAAACAGATTTCTCGGAAAATGAACACTATTTATGGTCCAACAACAATGGTGAAAAAATTGTTTTAAGACTGTAATTTAAGTATGAAATGAAATATATCAACTTCAAAATAATACTGAGAGTCTTAGATTTGCCAAAAGGTGAATGAAAATGTTAACCAAAGAAAATATTATTCTTTGAAATAGATTTATAATAATGAAACTGCTGTTTATATAAAATAAATTTGACACTAGCTAGGTGATTTCAACTTTGATAAAGTATGTATTTATGATATCTTGGGTGTGTCAGTATGGTCTATTAAAATACTCACAAAGTCTTTCAAACAAATTGATTTTATAATTTCTAGATTAAAATGACCTGAAATCTCTGAATAAATTAAAATGAAAAGAATGGAGTTTTTTGTCCAACTTTTCTGCACCTAATTGGGCTAATGAAGTATGAAATGAAGGAATATGACAGGACAGCAACATAAGCCTACTCTCCAAATGGCGAGGGGTCTTTAATGATCAGTCTGTAGCACACAGTAACTCAGTTTATTGTCCCATCTGATTGACTAGATGCTTTTCCCATGCCTCCAACATGGTATCCAGTTGGCTCCCTAAAATCTTTGAATAAGTGATTCTGTGCTTGATATGGTATGGTAAGGCTGAATTTAAATCTTAATTTGTTATTTCAGACTTAAACCAAAAGAGAATTTTTAACAAGACCCACCAAAATAGCAAAAATTGAAATCACACGAGAAAATTTTTCATAAAAGAAAATAAATAATCTTGTATTTGTTCATTAATAAATCTATTCATAAAAACAGCAGACATATAGAAAGCAATAGGGTTCAGCCCAAAACTGACATAACTCGGCTATTTATAGACACAAAAAATAGCAAAAGGTGACACCTGAAACCTGCAATGTCAACAGCCAAAGAGGAAGCCATTTTACACTTAAGAATTTCTTAGAAAAATACACATCCGGTCCCAAAATTACCGTAACAAACGAAATTTGATACAGAAGACATCCTTACCTTTCGGTCTGCCATGATACAAATTGTTTATCGTCACCCAAAAGTTATTTTGTCCCACTTCTGGTTAGAGGAAGATCCAGATTTTTTGACACTTGTTTCAAAACTTTGTCCAAAAATACTTTAAATCCGTCCGTCAGGCTTTCTTTAAGTTTGTCTTTTTCTACAAAAACTTTCCAACATCGAATGTATCCAAATTATTCCATAATTCGAAGAAAAATCAAAGGGAAAATTTGTAAACTCCATTTAGAATTTGTAAACGATTCACTACAATCTGAACCGCCATGTTGTTTCAAGGGTGTGACTCTCAAATATTCATTCGCTAAAAGAAATAGTTCTAAATGCAATTTTTTTTTTATTTCAAAATCTTTATTTACCAAAATCTAAATTTCATTTACAAACAGAAAAAAGCGATCTTTCGAGTATATTTATTTAAATTGTGAATGCCGTTCCGGATTTCCTTAATTTGACTGGCGTATAAATACTAAAAATGACATGATACCTTTGACCCTGTGAGGTGGAGGTCAAATAATCTCTCTTTGATGTAGGCCGCCAGGTAAATTGACATCAAAAGAACCTCTTGTTAAAAATGTGTAGTGGTCTATATCAACAAGATTTTGAATCAAAAGTCGAATCAAAAGTCAAATTCAAGAAAATTTGTCTTATTCCAATTTTTTGCCTTAAAATGCAATTCAATTTCTGCTGTTTTCTTCTGCAAAAATTTCATGTGTCTCAGAAATCGTAAGCAATCCTCTAAAACATAATGAACATTAAGCCATTTTATAAATTTGACAAAAGACAACTGAACGAGGGATTTAAAAAGAGTTTTGTATCTAATATTCACTGCACTCATGTCTAACTTCTTTCCATTTTGTCTATGCAATGCACCAAAGTGATGCAGAGTACCCCTGAAGAATGAATGATTTTTTTTTTCAAATATTTACCATCAGAAAAGTATTTAAAAGATTTTGAAATTAATTTTATTCATGATATATACAATGTACGAGTCATTATACAAGCACAAGCATACAGTGGATTTTCTTGGGGGAGAAGGGAAGGGTGTGGCCTCACTTCCACTCTTTATTTCTTATCATTTTACATAGCGAAGCCTGGTGCTGTTAGCCCCTGACAATTCTGTGGTGTCCCTACTAAGAATTCATAGAAAGACCACTGAGCACCAAACGCCATAAATATTTTCAATAATGAATTGAGTCTGCAGTCCATTTCATTTTGTCATTCAGATTCAGGATAAGAATGTTTTGAGTTTTCCAAAATATCTACAGGCCAAGGTTCCAGACTTTCATAATGTACCATAATGCAATTCTTGGTGTCTATATTTCAATATAATATACATAAGTCTTATAAAAGCAATGGTGCCACTGCCAGTGCCTCCAAAAGTCATCCCAGTATCTGATGTCAGCTTTCAACCACTATCTATCACAAATCTTATTCAAGCACAAAATACACAATGCCAAAAACCAGCTCAATCTTGATTTTGAGTTTTCCGCGAAACCATTTCACGAAATTGTGACAAGATCTTCGTCTCTCTTTTTGCCCGTTCTTCGTGATTGAAGTTAGCCAGCGCTCGTTTCTCGTCAGCTGAATAAATCTGGTTTTCTTTTCGTAGACGCACAGCTTCCATTCTTCGATGTCTGAAATGGAAAAATAAATTATTTAGTAAATATTATTATCTCAGTCGGATAATCATCATTTGCGTACGATAAATGTCCAAACGGGAAGGGACATAACTCTAGTTATGACATGGCATGTTGCAACTATCTAGAAATTCGTTAAACTGTGCGATCTAATTGGTAACAGGAATGTATTACTATAAATGAAACTCCAGTGTAGACATTTGCTTTATCAGCCAAAAGTGGTTAATTTCAGCTGTATGTAACACTTTTAAGATTGAAAATGTGTCATTGAGTTAATCTACAATTAAATGAAAGCATAGTAGCAGTCATATTAATTCTCAAGAATCTACAAAAAGAACTTTATTTTTATTAATCAGGGTTTGCAAGATTTCTATTATCTATAACCTGAGAGTGTGCAATGAGGGAAATTTTGTCAGAACTCTCAATAGATCTTTGATATGCACAGCATGTAGCACACAGGGCCTCCATGTAGTGTCCTATCCGAACTACTAGATGCTTGTTCTATGTCCTTTTGACTCTGGCTCTATGAACTTATCTAAGAAAGTTTCCGATTGAGGGAAATTTTAACTGAAAACATCTGTCAATAACAGTGTTTTCTAGAGCTTGGACAGAAAACTAAATAGATAGCTAAATTGTAAAAAATAAAAATAGTAAACTAACCTGCTTCCACTCATTACGTATCCCATATTCTCAAACTGTTCAATTTCATTACTCTCTAGCCCAATTTCACCTCTTCTGGGTATACGTTTACCTTCCGCGATATACGCAGCCATAGCAGCTCCCTCTCCTGGTAACAACGCATGACCATAGCTAAAAATAGATCATTTACATGATTACCTATACCTTTCCACTTTGACAGAATAAATGATTACAAAAAATCCCAAAAGTCATAATCAAAAATAGTAATATATATGGAAGTAGCCAACCTATAAAATGTAGAGGGTCACATGAAATCAATGTATTTCTCTGCCGCTACAAGGTGAAAAGTGTCAGCCACATGAACAGCTGAATAAGATAGAATACATAACTAGTAACTAAATAAATTATTGGTTTTTGATACCAAATGTCAGTCAGAAGCTCATTTTTTGAGAAATAAAGTAATTTGATTGGTTAATAATGCTAGCTTTAAAGTTGATTCCAGTGATTGACCAATCAGATGATCAGGATACTAAAATAAATCTATTGTGAGGTTTAAATCATCAACAAAAATTAAATAAGGTTCTTTAAGAAATAGAACAGACAAAGTAACAAGAAATCCAGAAGAGAGTTGATAATAGAAGAAAACCTACTCTAGTTTGCTGTTTTGTGCAGAGGCTATATATGGTTGAGGACCGTAAACTTCTATATCTTCCTGGTCATGACTGGCATCCGCTGAAAAAAAAAAGTAAATAATAACCACATTATAAACTTCAGGAAACAAAACTGATCCAAATAGCTTAATCTAATACAAGATAAAACAGCTGTAAGAAATGATAACAAAGTCAAATTACAGTACAATTAAATAACAAAATTTTGAAAAAACTTTTCGTTAAAATTCTTCATTGTTTTTGGAATCTTAGGGCCCTGCTTTCTCTAATCAAATGATCCTTCCCCCAGTCTGCCCCTGTATCAACCTACCTTTCTTTTCAGCCCAAACTTCCTCTTCCTCCTCTTCCTTTGAATCTTCTTCACTTTCAGATTCCACTTTCTTCTTCTTCTTTTCTTTCTTTAATTTCTTACTGCAAAAAATAAAAAAAAAATCTGATTTTGATTCACAAATTTGAAAAAAAAAAGAAACATTTATAATTTACAAATAAGTTCACAATTAAGGATCCTTTCTACCAGCTGGTCCTTGGGCAAATTATCTGTACCATATCTGTCATAAGACTTTACAATTATTTCCCATGACCAGCATTTGGAAATTAAAATGAAATGAATGGAGTTTTTCGTCCTACTTTCCTACACCATGTGGTGACCACGTAACCAAGCAAATGATGTCACGTAATGTACCAACTGTGCTATAGAACCTCACGAAGAAAACTTTAATGAAAACATTTGTTTTCAATATTCATAATGAGATGGCTTATTAACATATTAATTCAAAACTGCTGTATCATTTTCATAATTAAAATTCAACAGACAGATGAAACGTGGGTAACATTCTGAATTTCTACTTCACTAATAAATACAAGGCAAAATGAAATCAACTCTTTGCTTAGGCAGGATTCTTTATATTAAATTGTAGACGTATATGGTTTTGAAATTCTCTTACCTTTTTTTCTTCTTTTTCTTTTCCTTTTTATGTTTTTTACTTGATTTCTTTTTCTTTTTTTTCTTTTTATCATCTACAAACAAACATTTTCTATCCATAAAACATAAAAAAAAATAGGCAATGCAAGAGATACAACTGAGCAGATAGCTTCAAATTTCTTTTCAATTAGCACAGAGATACTGTCAAATCATAGCTATTCCCCCAAAAAATTATACCCTCAAAGTTACTGTCTAACAGTTGCATGAAATTGCTTATCCCCCAAGATTTCAGATTAAATAAACAGTTATTAGCTATTCCCCAAAAAATTCTACCCCCTAAATATCCTAAAATAATGTCCTACCCTCCGAGCTGCTATCATCAGAATCTGATTCACTTTCTTTGCCCTTTTTCTCGTTTTCTGACTCTGAACTGAAATATCAACAAACATTGTGTAAAAATCTTTGACTCTATACAAAATTATTCATTGAATGTTGGTTAAAACAGAATATCATTTGATTTTGTTTCCTTTTTTTTTACGATGATATACCATAGTTACCCACAGAAAAAAACATGAAACAAACAATATTTATCTGATTATCATAAGAGAATATTTTTCTAAAGAATGCAGGCACATCTACCAGAGAAAATTCTGACCAATGAAATAAGTAATACATACTCGTCCCCCTGGGGATGTGAGGGTGAGGCACCCCAAACTTCTGGTACACCCAGAGCTCCCACCCTTTCTCTCTCAATTCTTCTCCTGTAGAAAAATAACACAAGGCATGAGTTCATGGTTTAAATTCAAATGAAAATTTCAAACAAAAGTTTGAAATAAGCTAATTTTCATTTGGTTTGGTTTAAAATAATTGTAGAATGAAATGTTATAAGATCATTCGACTAGACCAAAATATGAAATTCTTCTCAAAAGGTTGAATTTCTAGGCCAAATACAGAGGCTTTAGGGTTAGAAGCTTATGAAATACATAAATTACGAATTTTAAGAAGTCAGACAGGAAAAAGTGATCTACATTTCCATGATATCTGGACTATCTCTATGGTGATGATGGTGATGCCCTCTATGGTGATGACTGTGATTCTGATGGTGGCCATTTTCTCTCGCTGCCGAATGATGATGGTTAGACCTGAAAGAAATTATCATAAGTCAAAATCCAACACCTGGCTTACCTCAGAAAAGAAGTCAATTTAGTTGCAGAAGGTAAAGACATAAAACAAGCATTTCAATTCTGAGTTATCCCACTGTCCAAGCCCAGACAACAGTCTCTAAAATATTATGCCAAAATAATCTGAAAAATTCAAGCGAACCTTGATACATAATTAGAATGACTCGGTTCTCTTGGCGACCTTGACCTTCTATCTTGCGGAGATCTTGACCTTTGATCTCTGTATCTTTCTTTCTTGTATGGTGGAGATCTTGACCTTCGATGAGATGACCTGTACTCTACTGGAGACCTTGATCTTCTTTCTTGAGGAGACCTTGACCTTTGATGAGACGGCCTTGACCTGTAATGTGCTGGTGACCTTGATCTTCGTTTGGGTGAAGGTCGATCTCTCTTATAACGTGGCGATGGTGATTTATATTTTTGTCTTTGGGGCGACCGTGATCTGGAATAATCTCTGCGATATCTTTTCGGCAATCTGTTGCCATGTTTACCATTACGTTCTGGTGAGGGTGACTGACTGTCAGAAAAGCTTTCACTGCTACTTGAACCTGACGATCTTCTACCCATGATTGACCTCAAAGTCTAAAAAAAAAATCATTGTATTACCATAAACTCGTTTGAAGGCTCTTTTATAAAATATGAAGTTTGGTAACCAAAACAAGCCCCTACTCCCACAACTTAAGTAGTGCCCATTTCTAGAAGAATAAGGTAGAGCCCCTAACCCCAGCCTTTCCTTCAGATTCAGAGCCCATACCATACACTTCAGACTACAGCAGTGAAGACAAAAACTGTGACCTAGTGAAAAAGAGGCAGGGCGCCATAGCCATATATCTTTTCAGTTACCGAGTAATTTACACTTTCTTTTAAAACGAAACAGTATTCTTACGTGTTCAATGGACAGGCAACCTGATCTACTTAATTCAAACTGTTAAACAGAAAAACATTTTTCTTTCGTTTTCAACATGTAAGTACCATAACATCCGGTTTAGTCTCGATCTACGAAAAGTGAACGTTGAGAAGAAAAGAGACTGGATAAAAAAAAACATTTGTAATTCAGGGGACGCAACTGTGAAAAAAAGATTCGGACCACCACTAATCCTTTTACATTACAGAAAATTTGGACAAAAAGAAACTTTCTTATCTATCATATGGCAGTCTAATTGAAGGACAAGACGAGGTAAAGTTTACATTTTGTTTTTAAAACCAATTTCAACATTTTAGCATGCTTTCACTCTCAAAAAGCAGGGGACGTATCCAGTAAATGCCAGAGTAGGGGGCCAAAAATGAAAAAGGTCAAAGCCCCTAGAACCAGGGGTCCCCCCACCACCCCCAAGAGGCTAACTGTTTTCAGAGGGCCTGAAATGAATTTTAAGCATTTGGGGGTCTTAATTTCACTTCAAAATAAGACCTATCTCAAGCCCGAGGGGGGGGGGGGGGGGGGGGGGGGGGGCCAATGCCCCCTTAAAAACCGGGACCCCCTGAAAAAAAAAAAATTTGGGGCAAGGGGAGTTTTCTCA